ACCTGTGCCACTGAGTTATATTCCCAGCAAATTAACTATTTTCTTAATTTCATTTTCAAAGTATTACCTGCTAATATATAGAAATATAACTGACTTTTTATGTTGACCTTCTTTGCTACACTGTTGCTTAATTCATTTATTTATTCTAATATTTTAATGGTTCATAATTTTACATTAAACATACCACCAGCAAATAGAGATAATTATACCTCTTCCTTTCAAATCTAGATGTATTTATTTCATTTAATTGCCTGATGTCCCTGACTAGAACTCTAGTATATTTTAAGAATGAATAACCTTGTATTACTCTTGATCTTAGAGGAAAAGCAACCAGTCTTTTAACATTAAACATCAAGTTAGTGATAGGTGTCTTACTGATGCCTTTATCAGTTTGGGGGAAGTTCCCTTCTGTTCATAATATGTTTACTATTGCATGTTAGGTTCATCCTTATCCTTTTTTGGGGTCATTTATTTTAGGTATATTTATTAATTGGGTTATGGATGTTAAATCAGTCTTGCATTTCTGGGATAAATTTCACTGGTTTGATGTGCTAGTAGTTTCCTGGTCAGCTTTATTGCAATTAAATAAAAATAAAAGAGAAATTAGAAGCTGTATATATGTAAATAGCATAAAATGATTCTTCAATGTATTTATACATTGTGATTACCACAATCAAGCTAATTATCATATCCATCTCCCCATCTCCTTACTTGTTTTCTGTAGTTTGTATATTTAAGAACTTTTTTTTAAGCAAAGTTCATCTATACCATACAGTATTATTAACTAATTAACATGCTATACACTTGATGTCCAGAACTTACCCATTCCAAAAACAAAAGTTTATGCCCTATGACCAAATTTTCCCATTGTTTTCCACCCCAGGCCTTGTTCAACCTTATTCTACTCTCTGCTTATATGGGTCTGGCTTTTGAAATTTCACCTAAAGTGAGACCATACAATATTTGTCTTACTGTGTCTGCTTTAGTTCACTTGAGAGTATCAAGGCACACCCACATAGTAAAAAATGATGCATATTGCTTGTGTTTTTTTTTTTTTTATTTTTTCCTTTTTGAGACAAGGTCTCACTATGCAGTTCAGGCTGGCCTTGAGCTCACTTTTTAGCCCAGGCTGGTCTCAAATTTGATACTCCTGCCTCAGCCTCCTGAGGCAGGAGGATCCTCATAAGTTCAAGGCCAACCTGGGCTACATATGAGTTCAAGGCCAGCCTCAAATATATAGCAAGATCTTGTCTAAAAAACAAAACAAAACAGCAAGACAAGACAAAATTCCAGTAAAAGAATAAATGAAAGTCAATGCCTCTCCCTCCCTTTTTTGGTACCAAAATACCAGTAATTTTCTCCACAGACCTAGAAAAAATAATCCTAAAATTCATATAAAATCACAAAAAACTCCAAAGTACTTAAGAATAAAAAAAAAAGTTATGCATTAGACTTCATATCTTAGTGCTTTATTTTTGTAGCAGATATCACAAAGATAACTTTCATTTTGGAACAGTGCTTAATCTTTCTTGGAAAGTAAATTTCTTTGAGACAATTTTGAAAGTATTTTCATGTGAGAATGGAGCAATGATACTACCATGAACCCATTTTTTTCTTTTTCTTTGAGAAAGTGTCTCCCTCTGCAGTTCAGGGTGGCCTTGAACTCCCGGTAGCTGGCCTCTAACACGTTGATTTTCTTGCCCCAACCTCCCAAGTTCTGGGATTGTACATGCATGCTCAACCACACCCAGCCACCCAGTTTTTAAAAATTACGTTTAGTAGTGCATTTTAGATAGACATGATGATGACACTCATCAGAGGGAATCTGTGCCTGTACATGATATATTTTAATTCTTCTTTTTCCCCCAATCTCCTGTTCTCTATTCAGCCCATCTTCTCCCTGTTTACAAAACTTTGTTTCCATTTTATCTTTTTTTAAAGTCATTTTTCCCTTTCCCTTCCTGCCTTTCTTGTGGACAAATGATTCCCAAATTATTTCAATAGTGTTTTGGTACTTTTTCCACAGAGCAAAGGTAATTAAAATATGTAAACAGTGAACTGAATGCATGTTTACAGAAGATGTAAAAGGACAAGTGCTGCTTATTATCCTTGTCTTTTTTCCTCCGAGCCCTCACTCAGCTATTGAGGCACTGCGTTAGCAACTCGAGGCCTCTAGATTTTAGAGTATTTCATCCATTGCTTTTAGATTAGTAGCTGAAAAGAGCTAAATATTTTTGAATATATTTATACTTCTAAGGTTTAAATACATATGACTCTGGGAACAAATAATTTTGTTAAATCACTGAAAGATATTTTTTGTCTATTTCTTCCCATTGATGCAATTTTTTAGGTACAAAATTCAAAGTTAGAAATTTATGTTTTCAAGACAAACCAACTAATCATTATTATCTGTAGTCTGTACTTGGCATAAAAATACAAATCAGGACTTGTATTATATGCTGAGAATCTATATTTTAATTGTATGTAATGAATACATTTTTAGCTCATTGCTTTTACTAAAAATGAGTAACATTTTTAGAGCCCCAATTGAAATCAACTAGTAGATAAAGCAGGAGAAGTTCAGGAATTCATATTCTTCTGCTCTCATGTTTCTCCTGAACATAGACATGAAACCATAGCCGCTGTTCTTTGGTTTCTGTGTTGACCTTTTCGCCCATGATTTGAGATATTTTCTTCTCAACTTTCTTAAGAAAAATCATAACCAAGAAAATCATCATGACACAAGTATGACACCAAAAAGTAATGGGAAGTCTTGATTAGAAATGATATGTTACAAATTTTAGTAAAACCTAAAACCCCTGTCTGGCAATATGTGTTATGATCGTCAGTAAAATAAGATATGAACAAAAATGTAACACTTTAATCTATATTTCTGCAAGTTCTTTTACCACTGCATCCATGTGCATCACAGTACTTGGAAGATAAGAGTCATAACAACTGTATCAGTTATTGAAGTGTAAGAATATGGGGAATATATCCTCTGTGTACCCAGCATGCTTTTCTCAATCAGTCAAGGCTTATCTTCTGTGTCATTCTCTCTTTAGAACATATAAGAAAATGTATGAAATGTGGAAGATTTTAACAAAAATTCTGTTATTGTAAACTAAATTTGTTTTTACTGCACAAAGCTATAAATGTTTTCCACTGACTTACGTCTCTTGAGTTTTTTTACCCTCTAATGGACCATAAATAGACAGTCTCTGTCATCATCATTCTGTTCCTCGCTATTTTCATCCTATCCTGTTCTTTGTCTCTGCATTTTATTTTAAAGAAATAAAGACACTGCAAGACACTAACTTTTGTGAATTGTACAACTAAACTGAAATTCACTTAGTATTAGAGTGGAATATTTGTTCTATTAAACCAATTGTAATTTAGAAGAATATACAAGACTATTAAATTGGTGAGGTTTAATTTTTTTTAAATTTTTACCATACATTAACAAATTGTAGTTGTATGTATTTATGGGATGAAAAATTATATTATTATTTATAATCACAATATGGATTAATTAAATTAGTTCACTACCATACATGTATCACTTCAAATATTTGTCCTTTTTATGATAACAATGATTTTTTTTCCTTTAATTTTTTTCCCTTCCTCAGTATAGATATGAAATGTTCATTTCTCCCCTGAAATAAAATATTACAATATACATGACCAGATTATTTTTTCAATGTTTACTGAAACTAAAGTAAATATATATCCATATTTGTGTTGAAAATGTATATTAAAAGATTATTTGGTTGTGAATATGCCGTGGTTGTATATGAAAATACTTTAAAAGCTAATGAATGTGTTTAACCGTAATGTATCATCCTTGAACTATAGATTTTAGAACTGAAAAAAAAAGTAGACGTCATTGTAAGCACTGAGATTGGCAACCATTAATCACTTAATTTGCAATAGGATTTCTATTATGTGCATGGTGGAGATGCAGTTTACTTTACCCAAATTCCCTGAATCTTAGCCAGGGAAAGTACCATCCCTCTAAGGGATATTGAGAAATATCTGAGCAAATTTTGGAGTGCCAAAAGGACTAAGAAATAATATTGCCATTCAATGCCCTTGAGTTGTGGATGTGAAATGTTTTGGAATATGTAGTATTTTGCTGCTTAACACAGAATTTTCCAGGCTAAAATAGCCACAGATCCCAATAAGAAATTCTTATTTGACCCTGAGTTGATCTGTTACCCAGCTTATTGTGGAAATGAGAGCTAATTCTGGATAGTTGAATGGAAGAATATTGTAGAACGTGAATGTATTGGGAAGCTTTACTAAAAAATAATGTTTCCTTTGGGGTAAAACAACAGATATATCTTGCTTATTCCTTGAGTATAGGTAGGACATGGAGCTATAGCAGCCAGTTTGAAATAAGAAGAGCCAAAATCCACCAGCCATATTTGGAACAGTAGATGTAGGGTAGCAGTTAAGTATTTTTTTATCAGTATAATTAGTATTTGCTGTTGTGTGAGTGCTAGATTTCTTATGTGAGAAAAAATTAAACCCTTATTTCCTTAAGCCATTATTAGTTGGCTTGTTTGATACCTATGATTAAAGATATTCTTGACTGATAAAGCTATCATCTAATAAATAAAGGACCTTCTTCTCAATTCCAGTCCCTTTATCTCTGAAAACAATTGTGTCAGGTATAATTACCCTAAAAAGTTACCTAATTATTTAATGACATGCTTAAATTATAAAAATATTTTCTTCATTACTAAACCTGTGTGTGCTGATTTATATATTGTGGTCTTTTCCCTTATTCTACTTTCTTAAAAATAAAACTATACTTTATAATTGATTTTATTTGAAATCTAGGCATAAGAGATGACAAATAGTAAACATTAGATGACATTATAAAACAATATTTCAATGTATTTTAAAATTTAACTGCTCAACATGGTTGATCCTCTGATATACAAGGGTAATAAAAAGTCTTTCTTAGTAAGTTTGTGTCAATTCTTTTTTATCAGGTGCAAGAGAATTCAAAGCAGCTATTTTCAAGCAGAAAAAGAACAAGGTACATCTTTTAATCTATTAGACTCTTACTGAACAATATACTGTAAAATTTAAAATATGTTGAAATATGAAAGATTTTGTCAGTTGTCAATAAAAATTATAACTGAATACCTTCATAAATATCATATGACTTTAGGAGGGAAAAAATACACATGAAAACATAAAGGTGTTTGTTGCTAGCCAAGCCATTACTTTACCATCTACTATTTATGTTCATCCTAACCGAGTCATCATTGCATCTTTCAGGGTCAATAACACAGCGGAAAATGGATAAAAATTAGTTTCCTGGAAAGGTGACAAAGTTATCAATAATATACAAAATGTCCTACTTATATGCAACATAAAAGATGAAATAGCATAACTGTTTCCTGCATCTAAAATTATATTAAAAATAAATTTTATACTTCTATGAGTATATATCCAGCAGAAGGTTTAAGGGAGAATAATGTGAAAGCCTCAAATAAGTTACATTTGCTCAAATTCTTGAAAGTTGAAAAATGATTTTTTTCACATCTAATAAGCAGACTAATGACAATAAGATACAAGAGAAAGTTGAACCTGATGTGGTAATAATGCATAATATGATTTGTACCTTATGTAGAAGGAAAATATTATGATTTTAGAGCTGAAAGAGTTGTTAAGGTTGCCTAGTTTGGGGTCTGTCTTGTTTAATAGTTTTAATGACTCCTTTAAAAACAATGCATCGTGGACTCTTTGGTTTACATTTTTTTAGTAAAGATCACTGAAATATTTCTTAATTTGAAATTCATATATATTTACTAAGTTTGTAGATTTTTTTTTTGTTTTTTTTTTTGTTTTTTCTCCGGTACCGGGAACCGAACTCACGACCTTGCAGCTTGCCAGGCAGGCGCTTTGCCGCTGAGCTAAATCCCCAGCCCCTTGTAGATGTTTTTGCTAAATTTTTCTCTCTGTTGGAAGTTGACCGTAGGGCCCCATGCAAAATAGATGGCATTCTTCAATGAGCTGTATGCTTAACCCAACTTACAGCCTTTATGTAATGGTAGAAGGAATAAATGCAAGTCAAAACTAAATTTGCCATGAAATGTGTCCTTCTATTCCTTAATGAAATAATTCACGTTGAATTTAACACTTCAAAAGTATATTCTTTGGTAAGGGTCTTTGTTTAATCTGATTTTCATCCCATAAGCAGCCCTGTTTATAATCACATTTGCTTACTAAATTCTCATAGTTTGTATTTTCTGATAAGATTTCAATTTTTCTCTAATTCCTGAAAGATCACTTTACTGTGTTGTGATTCTTCATAGATAGTTATTTCCTTTGAGGATTTTGAAAATTTTATTCTAGGTCTTTTATGCTTTCAAATGAGATTGAAAGTCTGTTTGCCAGACAGGCAAGGAAGGAGGGAAGAAGGATGAAAAGAGGAATTGAGATGTGTTTGTACATGTACCAATGCTACAGAAGAAATGCAGTCATCATGTAATGCAATCATGTGCTGATTAAGAAATAAAAACTGAATGGTGCTGGAAAAATTGGCTTGCCACCTGCCAAAGACTGAAAATAGACCCAAGTCTATCACCATGCACCAAACTCAAGTCAAAATGGATCACACATCTCAATATGAAAACAGAAACACTAAATATATTGGAAGAGAAATAGTAAAAACCTGGAAGACATAGGGGTAGGGAGAGAGTTCATGAACAAAATCAAACTGCCCGTGAAATACTTCAAAGAATCAACACCTGGGATCTCATCCTACTGAAGAGTTTCTGCACATCTAAAGAAATCACCAGAAGAGTAAAAAGAAAACACACAAATTGGGAAAAAATTTTAGCTGACTGTCCCTTGGACAAAGGGCTTCTATCTAGAACATATAAAGAATTAAAAAATATCAGCCCCCGCAAATTCAAAGACCCAATCCAAAAATGGGCAGCTGAGATGAATACACACTTCTCAGGTAAAGAAATACATATGGCGAATAAATACATGAGAAAATGTTCAACATCATTAAGCATTTGAGAAATACCAATTAAAACACTGAGATTTCATCTCCCCCCAGTAAGAATGGCTAGCAGTAAGAAATCAGCCAGTAACAAATGCTGGTAGGGTTGTGGAGAAAGAGGAACTCTTCTCCACTGCTGGTGGGAATGCAGACTGGTGAAACCACTGTGGAAATCAGTTTGGAGATTCCCCAGCAAACCAAAACTAGAAGTCCCATTCAACCCAGCTATGCCTCTCTTCTGGGTATTTTCCCAGAAGATCTCAAAACATTGTATCACAGCGATATATGTGCACCCATGTTCATAGCAGGACAATTTGTAATTGCTAAATTGTGGAAGCAACCCAAATGTCCACCCACTCAGGTTTGGATAAAAAAAATTGTGGTACTTTTACATAATGCAATATTACTCAGCTATAAAGAAAGATAAACTCGAGGCTTTTATGGGTAAATGGTCACAAGTAGAGACCATACTCATAAGTGAAATAAATCAGACCTGCACGTTGTAAGCACCATAATGTCTCACTAGTGTAAGACCTGAAAGAGTGAATAAAA